TCTAACAAAAAGGTCGACATTAGATAGTAACAAGACCAGAGTTTGGACCGTTCCCTTTCAAAATGTAAGAAATGCCATGGCGCAGAAACACACAAAATTAAAATAAAACAACCAACATAGTTTTACAGAATCAGAGGATTGGCTGTAAATATATGTAAATATATGTAAATACAGTATTATGCTTTATTACGTATTTGATTTGCTATATGCTTTATTTATTTATTACGTATTTGATTAATTCATTTTTTTATGTTTATAAGTTCTGTTACATCACAGTTATATATGTATTTATTGTGGTGATTATGTGGTGTTTTTGATCTGTCTTGTATTTTAGATCATAAAATTACTTGTCGGTATGGTAGTTGTACTGTATTGTCAACGAAATGTCTGTACTCTCACGGCAAACAACTGAAGGAAACCAGTTTTGTTTTATTTTTGCATAATATATAACTTGTTGTGTACATCTTATGAATTGTAAAAGTATAAAATGTTTTAAGTCAAGGGTATAACATAGAGCTCAAGGGCCTAGGTTTCTAGAATGTTTGGTGAGGATAGCAGGCTTACCTGAATGGGAAAGAGTATAAACTGACATAACAAGACTTTGCACTTTATACAAAAAACATAATAAGAATATTTCACTAGGTACTACTGACAGCATCTTCAACTAAGGAAAAGACAGTTTTCCAGGCCCCTGAAGTGCAAACTCTTCAGAGGCCTGAACAACTGTCTCTTCCTTAGTTGAAATACTCGGTGGCTCAGTGGTTGTCAAAATATTCTAATGTCTTGTGAATTTAATGTAAAGTTTTGTGTTTCTTATGCCAGTCTGGCCTATTTCCCTTAAGACTGTTATCCTCACAAAAATCTGTATAGCATGTTTTAAGATTATTTTAATTTAAAAAACAAATGTTTGAAAGTATTGTTTTGTTAATTTTGTTGAGTAATAAAGAAGAGTCTATACCATACTGATTTCTTGTCATTGTCGGCATTTCATTCCTCACTTTAATTTGTTCATTATTGATTTAGCACACAGTTTAATTTGCACTAACATCTTGTGCTGTGCAAATCTTTTACAATTCAAATAGCTGAGTGACATGATAGTAGGCCTATGAGCTTAAGATATTTTATTTGACTGAAACAGTGCTCGGTTTATAGAGAAGTGCAATAACAATTAATGGAGAGCTATTACTCCTCTCCTCTTAACCTTCCTTTCTTTTATTTCCTCATAGATCTGTTTCCAAAATAATCATAGGAGTGCAGCATGTGTTTTTGTTGTAATTTTGCTAAAAGATAGTCCAAAACTTGGTATCTTTAGCAGATAAAGAGGTAAGACAAAACCCTGGTAAAGAAATTGGATCTGGTTGGTTGCAATGTAGTTAGGTGGCTATAGTGACCTGACAATCAAAAAGTTGCTGGATCAGTCCTGAGAAAATCCACTCTTTTTTATGGGTTAAAACTGGGCCCTGCTGTCTTTGATTATTGGGCTTTTAATAGTTGACCCTATATATACTAAGGAAACAGCTAGTCTTTGTCAGTAACAGAGATACACAAGGAGTCTCACTCCTTTCTACACTCATCCTTTACTCATACTTGTATCAAAAATACACTCAGTTGTGTTCTAACCTCAATTAATTAATTACAGTAATAAATAATTAATTGGTGATGAGCTTATGTGAAACAACCAAATAACCAATATACATCCAAAGCAAAAGATGATCTTTATCTTATCAATATGAAATTGGTAATTTTGATTGCTTATAGGACATTTTGATCAAAGGTATTAATAAATACTACTCGAGCCAAGTTACAAGAGTTTAATGAGCTAATTAGAAAGAGTGAAACTACTTCTACCTGGTTATATCAGACTATTGAATCGTTCAGATTAAAGAACATATTGTTGTTTACATAATAATAGCTAAAACCTGGCTAAAAAATGCTTTATAAAGTAAAATACATTGTTAATTTAATACATTAGTAAACATAGTGAAAAACAGTAGCCTACTGTACAGTATACAATAAAGAACTACTATACTGTGTATATAGCACAGCAATGAGGTGTTCGGATTAGTGGACAATCGGATTATAGGGGTTCCGATTAAAGAGGTTTTACTGTATTACATTTTACAAAGAACCCAGCTCTGCTAGCGAAATTGATGACATTGTCATCTGGCATTGACATGTTAAGTAAAATAGACTATTTTTATAAAGTTGTAGTAGAACCACTCAAATCCTGCCACTATGAGACAAGCCCCTGGCTGGATAAACCAACCTATAAAAAAAAGGCAATTTATGCCTAATAAATGTGGTCAACTCAAAAAGTAGTGTTAGGTATCTGTTGAGATTATTATTTTTCTTAATATACACATGTTTGTAAAACGAAAGAAAAAATTAATCTGTACAAAAGAGTGTTCAAGTTTTAAATATAAATACAATGAATTCAGATTACAAAGATTGAGGTAAAAATTACACAATAAATTGGCTTTGATGATTTTAGCCACTTAAAATTGACTCTATTTTTTTACAAACTATCTTTTTTATTTTTTATTATTTTTTACAAAGCAAAAAAAATCCTGTACTGTACTAGATTATACTAACCACTCTGGAAATAATTAACTGTTTAGAGATAAGGCTTACTAGTTCAACTGATTAGCGAACACAGTAAATTTAAACTGACCGATAAACCATGAGTGCATGTGAGTCACAGAGACAAATACACATCTGTAGCCAAGGGAAATACTTTTTTTATTGGCCTCTGAAAAGAAGCCGAATATTCATTAGTCGGCTTCCAATGACTGGTAAAACTGAGGGTGGATATCAGCGGTTCTTTTGTAATTAAAATTTAGCAAATCATCCCATACATAAATGATAATTCCATGTAATGTAATAGTTTTTTTAGGCAACAAGTTTTAAAATTGGTCTAGAATAAATTAATGTTTTCCACAGTTATAAATTTGAGGAAATTTCATCTTACACAACATACATCCTGAGTAATTTGGTAACTGTTCTATTGAACTTGGACTATAAATAGGTATCAGAAAAACATCTATATTTCTAGTGTTATAACCATGAGAATGTTGTTCTTCCACAATGGAAACCAAATTTCTAATAATGATAAAAAAATGCATCTATATATATAAAAGCACTAGCGGAATACCCGTGCTTCCAGGCAAAGCCCTCACTGACTGACTCACTCACTCACTCATCACTAATTCTCTTACTTCCCATTTACCTAGGAGGCTGAAATTTGGTACACTGATTCTTTAGGCATTAAATAGGAAAACTAAGCTGTTTTTATTTTGATGGGACTCTCGGGCTCCGCCCCAGTGGCTCTGGAGTTTCCCATGTTAACCTTATGAGTCCTCATATTTATATGGAATTAATCTTAACAGCTGTTTCAAATAAACAAGTTGGTTTTGTTCTATGATGTTCAATAGCATTTAAGTTACAAGGATTACCAACAGGGTGCAGCACTATTATTTCTTTTACATTTATGACAACAGCTAATTTGAAACCAAAAAGTGAGTGAGCGTAGCGAACAAACTTCAACCTGGAGGCGAGTTAGCGTAGCGAACGAGCTAACCTGAAGGCAAGTGAGCGCAGCGAACGAGCTCCAACCAAAAAGTGAGTGAGCGTAGCGAACGAACTTCAACCAGGACGTGATTGAGCCATGCGAACGATCTCAATCATGAAGTTAAACGAGGAAAAGCCCGCGGGTACAGCTAGTTTGAGAATAAATCTTCAATTTATCTTTAATTTCCAAACATGTAACAGGATGCCCCTAGACTGAAAAGATTCTAAATTTTTTTTATTATTTTGGAAATATTTCTTTATCGTAACTGCTATCCCTCTTTCTATACCATACTGCATTAAGATGCAAAAAGTGCATGATAAACAAAAATTTTAGTTTTGAAGTCAATCGTAGATTGTATAACTGACATTTCTGAAAACAAGTAGTATGTAATTTTTCTACTGTCAGTGAATATTTTAATCATTTCAAATTCTTTTGAACTTGTAAACATAAAAACAAAAACCGAATTGATTCTGTTATTTCAATTGACATGTGTAAGCCAATGGTAACTTCCTGGTGGTTGAACAACGAATATCTGGTTTATCAGCTTAAGACTCTTCCGTTAAGTAACAGTTTTTGGCAGCATTTTGAATGGTAGAACTAAATTTAATTACATCCAGTCTGTTGTCTAATCCAGTTTCATGATTAAAACAAGTACTGTACAGTATATTCTGTTGTGATTCAACGTAAACCATTAAACAGCTTCTTAAATTCAGTGTTACCATATTCATAACAGCAATGTTCAGCAGTTGCCATTTTCAGCAATTCGTTGGGCAGGAGTTTGAACGTCCAGTCCTCATCAACTTCTGTTGATAAGAAAGTAAATGTTGAAATTTATTTACGGTCTCAGCAGTAACAATAGCTAATGGAACATTAAGTGGCAACCATTTTTAGGGTTTTAAGATTAAGTTGTTTGTTTTAGGGGCTTTGTTTACTTCACACTCTATAACCAAGAATTTGTATTAATCATTACTAATGTATGAGGTAGTAAAATCCTAGGACGATAGGTACTAGCCCAGAACTGTTTTAACATTACTTCAGCCTAGTCCTAGAGAGTTGTGGCATTTATCACATATAGATTAAATCCATTGTTGATTGGCAGGATTTGAACCTAGGGCCTCCAAAGCCCTGTGCTCTACCACTAGACCATCTCGCTCCCCAACAGAATAATAAAAGCTTAACCTTATCAATCTTGGCACGGGTCTTAATTCAACATATCGTATCGTGTAAACTAAACTAAGGAATACAAGATGATAAGTTGACAAAGTGATCAATCTTGATTGGGCTTTGGAATTATCATCAAACTTTTTATGATATAAAATAATCAATCCAGGACCACATACTTTTGACTAGACTCAATCAGATAAATGTTTCTTGTTGTAATAGTTAAGCTACATATGCAACAATGTAGTAAACTGATGTACTTATGTTTCAGAGATATGTGGCCTGAAACAATAGAAAATGAGAACAAATCTCGATCTTTACAAATCCTAAAGTCTGATTATCAACCCAACGGACTGGATTCCAAAAGTCAGCGAAGTGAGCTACAGCAACAAAATATGCCACAACAAACTCTACCACAGCAAAATGATAAACACACCAGAATTTCTATACCAAATACAATACCATCTCTTATAAATAGAACTCCTGTCCAAGGTTCACTTTCTCCACAAAAGAGCAATGAAAAGGGTAATACTGCCCCAGCTGTCAAAACTGTGTTTAAAAAACCTGACGAGGGAAAAGTCTCTTCAAATGTATCACAAAACAAAACCAATGATCAAAAAGAAAATGCCTCCGTTGTAAAGCCAAATAATGACAACAATCCTTCACTTCAACCTAAAGACAAACCTACTACAACAAACAAACAATTTGGTTCACAGATATCCCAAAATAAAAATGCTGGACAAAAGTCACAAAATTCACTTAGCAATCAACCAGTTGGACGTCAGCCACTAAACAATCAACCAATTGGACCTCAGCCACTAAGTAATCAACCAATTGGACCTCAGCCACTAAATAATCAACCATTTGGACTTCAGTCGCTAAATAATCAAGCGTTTGGGCATCAGCCACTTAATAATCAAGCTTTTGGGCCTTTAAATAATCAACTCCAACCTAACCAACCTTTACAATTTGTACCTCATCAACAAGAAGTTCAATTTGGACCTCAGTCTCTTCTTGGTCCGCTTCCGTCTCTTCTTGGTCCCCATCCACCCGTGTATGGCCCCCATTTCATGGATTCACCCTTACAATTTGGGCCGAATCCACCCACTTATGTCCAACCATTTCCTTGTGAGATGGTTCCATTAGTTATGGATCAACAATTATTGAATCAGCCTCTGTCAAACTTTTGCCAAGTAGAAAATAACTCAGTTCCACCATCAGGTCAAACCCAGATATCGGTGCCATCTGTTACAATCACTGTGTCCAACAGTCCTCCGCCAAGGTCTGATCTTAGAGAAGAATTGTCTAAGAAACGTCAAATCGAAAACCATAGCAGAGGTACTATTATCGAGGAGAAAGACGATTCTGATGGTTGGTCAAGAAAAGTGTTTGTTGCCAATGAAAATGCTGACCAACGTGAGAATACTAATACGAGAAGAGTCAACGGTTCTCCTGTGCCTGGAATGAACGAAGATTCTCAAGACCTCAGGGAAAGGCTAAAATATAGAGATTCTCGTAGAGAAACAAAGGGACCTGCAGAATCTTCATTCAGAAGGAATTCACCTGAGAGAAATATATCTAACCGAAATCGTAGATATCCTCAAGAACAGCGTTACTCAAAATATAATGAAGGAGGTAATAATCGAAGGTCCCCTCCTCTTGATAAACGAAGGATGGCTCCAAGAAACAATCCTGACAGGGATGGTTCCAGGGAGGGACGTAGATTTAGAGACCCATCACCAGAGCAGAGAATTGTAAGGTGTAGAGAAGGTTCTTATGAGAGGAGAGTCTATCATGATCCAACAAGAGGCACTGGGAAAGACAGAGTGAGAGGAAGATCGAGATCTCGCTCTCCAAGTAAGTTATAAAAATAAAACTTTATCGAAACAATTCATGTCAGGAAACGAACTAAATACTCAATAGTGGTCTTGTAAATACTACAGCATAATAAACAATAGGTTGAGTATTCTCCCTTTATTCTAGTTGTGAAGATTTTTTGAAAGAAAATATGTTTGTCTATGAGGTATACCACCCCTTTAACTGTCAGTCTCTATTATCTGTCACCTAATACAGTACTCTCACAATAAATTATTATAGAAACTACAACTTGTATCTTTATATTTTCAAAAACAGTGACAGATTTCATAACTTTTATTTTACATTATAAATTGAGTGAACAGTTTTTCCCCGCTCAATGTACATTATTCATTTGTTTGCATACTTCTTTAATTTTAAACTATAAATAGGATTAATTTAAACTTTATGTACAACACAGTAATAGATTTTTTTCTAATAGTCTATTGTGGTTCAATCACGATTTCGATCCTGACAACAACAGTTAAAAAGTTTCATTGCAATTGTATGAAACTAGTGTCCCTGTTGCTCGAATTCGAGCAATTTCTAAGTATTAGAGGTGTTATTTTAAAAGGAATAACGTTGATAATTTATGATGAGTTTAAAAGATTCGACCCAAAGATTATGGAAATATTCCAGATGTACATAACAGAATATATAAATTTATCCAGGCTCTCTTGCTTTTTTCCATTGTAATATTTACGCCAACCCGAATTCAATAGTAAATATTTCATTTCAACCAAGTCAGTAAATGTTTGTAGCAAACTGTAAAATTAGCAAACTTATTGACTGTTTAAAATTAACATATGTTCTTCTTCTCACTTTTAATTTCTGACAACAGCTGGAGTTGCATAATAATTTTTGTTTCCCATGTTAATCTTATGGAGAAATACAAAACTTTAAAGGGTCCTAGGGCCTCACTCTCTGATTATTTCCCTAAAAAGAAAGTTTCCTGCACAACTTCACGTTACGCTCTTTCCAATGACACCAAAAACATGTAAATCGGTTCTGTAGTTTCGGAGGAGTAATTGTCACAAAAAACATGCTTGCGTATTAAATAAGTATATAGATATAGATAATAACTTACATATTTTATGAAGTGCCGATTGCTTGACAGGAAGGCCGGTTAGGAGTCCCAGTCCTATGGCTCATTTCCGTGACCTATGGGACAACATTCCAGCTGTTGTATCAGAATCCATCTTCATGTACAAGTATGTCAAGCAGGACAGTACGACCGAGAAGGATCCTTACGCTCTGCTGAGAGCTACAAGATCTCTCAAGTTCAACGTTGACTTTGATTTTATCAAGGAGCAAACTGCCATGTAAGTTGCAAATAGTGTTGTAGTAAATTGTTAAGACTGAGAAAAGTATCATTGATTATTACTAGTACACCTGTTGCTTGAATTCGAGAAATTGCCAAGTATTACAGGCATTACTTAAAAACGAATTCACAGTCATAATTTCCGATGACTTAAAAGAGTCACTCAAAGATAACGTAACCTTTCTTTGATGTTATGACTAGTGATTTTTAGTCCCTTAGTTGGTGGAAATATATAAGGCCCTGTTTATGCACCAAGAGCGGGAGCGGTAGTGATTTTCAACACCATTGAGTTAAATGGGACTGTTTAGTTATGCACGAAGAGCAATAGCGGGAGCAGTTGACCTCCCGCTGCGGTTTCTAATTCGACCGCTGTGTAGTTAGAAATCGCAGCGGTTGTTTGAAAGTGAGCGGTTTTCAACTGCGTTGACTCAAATGAGACTGTTTATGCACGGCGGGAGCGGGAGCGGCTGTAGCCAGGGTTGCCAACTTGACCCATGCGCACGTGCACTTAGGACAAATGGTTGTGTTAATTATTTGGCAGAGTTTGAGTTGGCAAGACTGTGTCCCCCTTCCAATCTCCGTTGACCAACAGCTACTGCTGTCGCTTGCACAATTTTGACAACATTTTCACAGCCCCCTACCCCCCTCCTGCTCTTGCATAAACGGGGCCTAAGGATTTGTACAGATTTAGTAGTATGGCGTAAACTATCGTACGTAACTCGTCCAAAATGTGTGTACTGGACTCGTATGGTAATCGTATGGAACAACCACACTCGTCCGGTAAACACTTATTTTCAGGACTAGTAACGTAATATACTTTTACTAATGTTAGCTTACCGGTACTTGATTTTTTGCTCTAAACTTACTTGATTATGTAGTTTTACAAATGTTTTAACATTACTATAATCAAAGCAGAAGAAATGTATAACATTTTTGTTGGCAGCAATGAGTGGTATGTGAGTGTAGAGCTGATCTCAGACCAGCACAAATTTCACCCCCTGGTGGGGGAGGGAATGGCGCGTACAAAGGAAGAAGCAAGCCTCAGAGCTGCAAAGCACGCTGTGGACACAGTACAGAAGGCCTGTCAAGTCATTGAGGTAATGAGGTGGTGGTAATGTTCTAATCCTGGCTTGTTCTCAGCAAACTTAGCTAAAAGCCTCAAATGTAAAGTAACAGGAACAATGTTGATTAGTGTCCTGAACTTTGGTGCTTGAGTGACCAGTTTGATTTCTAATACCTATGGATCTATTTTAATTCTTGATTCCTCCAAACCTTTGGCGGTTTTGAGAATGGTCGACCTTTGATAATTTAAGCAAATTTCCCATGTAGGGAATAAGCTATTACCGTAGGTCTCATGGTAAGACCTTTGACTATTAACTATTGTACCCCGTCCAGTTTTGTACAGTTTTGCTATTACAATTATAAATTTTATAATCACAGAAATTAAATTAAATTTTAATTTTAATTTTAAGTTAAATTTTAATTTTTTATATGATGTTTCTAGCCAAATTTGAGATACTTTTGCGAGGGTGGAGAACCAGACTTTATTATCAACAAAAGTCCTATGAAAACTTCCATTTACGAGTAAGTATCATACTGTGAATTGTAATCCCATTGAGTAAAGTTTTGAGTGCCATTTTGAACAAGTTATTTATTAAATGCATGTTGCCTCTGTGGATTGACAATGTAAGGTTTTGGTACCAAAAGTATCTGTAAATTTTAAATCCAAAAGCCAATATATTTTAAAGATTGAATTGGCTAGAGAAATAATTTATTGATCACAATTCACAATTAGTTAATCAATGATAAGGATTGGGAATGCCAAATTTTGGAAATTTATTTTTGGTTATGTTTATTTTTTATATAAGATTTATTTTATTAAACATTTTTTTTATAAAACCTATATTTTTGCAGTTGACTTGATATATACAGTATTTTGCAATTTTACAATATTTTGTGGTAACATAGCCTCCTCTAATACAAGGCTTGCAGCGTTGGTGTGTGGCAATGTCGTACTGGCTAGCCTATTGCCATGGTAATAACAGTAATGACAAACGTTTAAACATGAACATTGCGCAGAAGCTCCATTATGAATTAGTGCGACAGCTCTTTGGGTAGGCCGGGGGTATGACATTGCCCTCTTTGCCTCACCGAAGCCTATTAGATAAAACATATTTATGTACGTCGTATTTAATACACCACAACGAATTCAGTTTTTTTGTATTGTAATTTTTTAATTAGGAATTCCTTTTCTAATGTCTCACTTTAAATCTATTGTAACTTAATTTCCTTCAAAAACTTTTATATAAGTAATTTAAAAATGTATAATATTATATACATTAGAAAAACTGTAGGCTACAGTGAAACCCCTCATATCCGGCTACCACGGGACCAAGCTCCTGGCTGGATAACGATTTGACCGGATAAACCAAGCTACTATCAAATGACAATTGATACCCAATAATAATGTGTAATCCCTATGTAGTCAAAAGTATCATTCAAGTCTGTGTCCTGGGATTATTTTTAGAAGAATACACATGTTTAGAAAAAAAAAATATACATTTATTTTTAGACATTTACTTGTAAAAGTTGTTCAGTAATGGACATAATATATTATGATTCCAGATAACAAAAACTATTAAATATTGATGGAGGAGGTAAAAATTACAATTAATTGGCCTTGAATATCATTAGGTCTTAAATAAATTATTTCTTCTATTCAACTTTCTTATCCATTTTGTTCTTACGAAATACAACAATTAATGTACTGTACTAACCCCGCTTTGGAAAATAATTAACCATCTATTCAGAGGTTAGGCCTACTAGCTCAACTGAGTAGTGAAACAGTAAAATGGAAACTAACAAATAAATAGTGAGATACGTAAATGAAGACTAGTGCTTGCACTTCGGTAAGCTGGGAGAAATATATTTACTGCAATATATTTACTGGGTTTTACTGCACTATCAACTTAATAGATAGACAGGTCAAAAAGACCATTGTTGCTAAATACAAGGTCAATTATATGATGCTACGATTGTTGAATTACATTTGACATTTTGTTAATTATCAATAGCGTAATTAAGGACACAAAGGATAGGATAAGCAGGCTTACCTTTAGACATGTAGGCATACCACTTCACTACGGTAACACAGAAGAAAACACAAAAGAAACACTGAATATTTTGAGGCCACTGGCTCCTTTCTCAACATTGAGAATCTCAACAATTGAGCTCTCAATGTTGAGTTAGGGGCTAGTGGCCTCGAAATATTAAGTGTTTCTTTTTCTTTTGTGTTTTCTTCTGTTACTGTAGTGAAGTGGGAAGCCTATAGAATATCTAAAGGTAAGCCTGCTATCCTTTGTCTCCTTAATTCTCAGGCAATAAGCCCTTTCTATTCAAACCAATAGCATGTTTAGTCAGTTTTTTTTAAACTTAATTATTTCAAGACTATGTTTGATTTCTCAAACTGTGAAAACTCAAATTTATTTATCAAGAACAGTTTATTTCTTAGAAGCCCATTTGAATATTTACTCTTATATTTTGCTTTCAGGATTATCCAGAATATGAATCCCGACACTCCATTAACTCGTTATACGATAGAAATTATGTTCAATGTGTTCTTATCTTCTGACGTGGAAGACCTCTTTTTCTTGGCCACTGACTTTTCATACATGGAGAGAGTTTTAGTCATAGAGTAAGTATCTTAATGATAAACTTATAAAAAAATTATAGGCACAGTTAGTCAAATAATTTTACCTACGACAATTTTTTTTAACTAGCCGTTTCAATTCAGTTCTTAGAATTGGAAAGATTCACTTAAACAGCAATTTTTACTTACTTAACAGCGTTGTTTTACTTAACAACAAGAGTAACGGACCAATGAGGGTCAAGGATTGAGAGAAAAGAAGTGAAATTGTAATGCTTCGAACATTAACTAATCAGCTGATGAGACCAATTTAATTGTTTAAGTAAGTGGTTCATGCATCACTGGCAGTGGCAATGAGAGGTTAAAACATTGCCAGGATTAAAACATAACCTCTCTTAGAAGTTACGAGTAGTGATTGTTAGTAATTAAAAAACGATTGAAGGTTAAGTAGTGTATGCAACTCGCGTTAATAGTCTTAACGACACTCGTATAAGTTTTTTCTACTTGTGTCGATAACACTATGTTTACGCGATCGTTGCATTAACTACTATAATGATGGGATTTATCTTAGGGGACTTATGTTGTCATACTATAGCATTTGGAAACAGTAAGTCAAAAGAACTTTATATATTTATTTGAGAACTCGTTCCCCAAAAACCAAATACAGTAGAACCTCAATAGTTCCGACACTTTGTGGACTTAAGGGATGTCGAACAATCGAAATATCGAACTATAGAGAGTAAATGGGGTTTAATATACAGGAAAGTAATAAAAGGAAGTTACAGGAAGTTAATACGACAGCCTTCTGAGATCTGAGATGCCAGAGGAGACCGTTTTAGTTGGGTACGCCGATGACGTCGCAGCCCTCATTGCTGCACGCAACGTTGAGCTAGCCCAACTGAAACTGAACCAAGTCATGCGCGTTGTAAACGCCTGGATGACTGATCATGGTCTGACACTCGCTCTGAGCAAGACAGAGATCGTCATCCTCACGAAAAAACGGATTGAAACCATCGTTCCGCTACGAGTTGGGAACGTAGTTGTCCAAACCACGCGAACCGCCAAGTACCTTGGTGTCATGGTGGACAACAAGCTGAGCTGGAGGGACCAGATCTTCCGTACGGCGGACAAGGCTGCTAGGAGTGTTGCTGCTCTTAGTAGGCTTATGGCCAATGTCGGTGGTCCCCGGTCCAGCCGTAGAAGACTACTGATGTCTGCAGTCCAGTCCGTGCTTCTCTACGGCTCTGAGGTGTGGGCAGACGCGCTTAACAAGGAGGCGTATAGGTTGAGGCTCGCACGAGCGCAGCGTCAGGCGGCACTCAGGGTCGCTTCCGCGTACCGTACGGTGTCCGAACCGGCCGTTTTGGTGATCGCTGGAGTTATCCCAGTCAAACTCTTGGCAGCGGAGAGGAAGGCAATCTACCAGAGACAAGGCTACATCGGAAAGGACGCTGCAAGAACAGAAGAGCGCTCCCGCACTTTTCAGATGTGGCAAGAAAGCTGGGAAAGGGAGACTCGAGGACGTTGGACTGCCAGACTCATCAGGCAGGTCCAACCGTGGGTAGAACGGCGGCACGGTGAGGTTGACTATTACCTCACGCAGTTCTTGTCAGGTCACGGCTATTTTCAGTCGTACCTGCACTTGATGGCCAAAACGAATTCACCTGACTGCATTTACTGCCCATGCATTCCCGACGACGCGGAACACACTTTTTTCCACTGTCCACAATGGGATATGCTTCGCCAGGAGGCCATTCAACATCTTGGGGTGCTGTCGATTGAATCGATCTGTGAGACCTTGCTGAAGGGTGAGGACAACTGGGACTGCTGGTCGCACTTTGTCCGGAATGTCCTTCAAGCTAAAAAGAATGATCTAGATCGGAACATAGTCTAGATTTGATAAGAAATAAACGGCTAGACACGGCGTAAGCCCCTCGGGCGTAGGAAAACTCGGCCTAGTTCTGATGAAGTGCGACAAGTGTTCCCAGGCTAGTGTCCGAAGAGTAGAGGAGGTTTTTAGTGGGTAGTCTCTGGGCCTTAAGCCCGTTGGAGTCCCACACTACAGGCAACCTGTGTGCATAAATGCATTTTCCCACCTCTCCCTAAAAAAAAAAAAAAAAAATATACAGGAAAGTAAAAATACAAGATTCATATAGAAATCAAATCACCCAAATTTATTAAATACTAAAAAGCTTAACAATTTCACTGTTCATTTGTTAAGTTCCAAGTTTCAAGTCAACAATAAATTACAAATTAATGTTCAAGTCAGCTTACATCACAATGTAGTAACCATTAAATATCACTTGACAAAATAGCTCAACCTGTGTCGAACGGCAAGGAGTGTCGAACTATCGAAGGTTTACTGTAATATTTTATTTGAAGTAAACACAGGAAAATGTGTAGCCTATTCATTTAAATTTAAATTATTTTTAAAGCCCATTTTCTCTACATTTCTGTTTAATAAAGGTATATACCTCGACAATTTCCTTATTAGAATTGCAGCGCTAAAATTGTCTCTTACCTGTCAATAGAAATCTCCAGTTAATAATTTAGTCTACCATAAAATTTGTCAGTATGGCTGAAGTGCTAGAATTTATTGTAACTACCCAGTAGTTAAGTCATCTCCCATGTCAAGTCTGCAATGCTAGAGCTCGTGCATTTCCTGGTGAAGCCTGGGGGTAGGGTTGAAGCCTGTACAAAACCGGTTCCGAGCCACTCTAACCACCTATCCCCAGGCTTGACCAGGAAACGAACAATAGTCCAAGCAAACTAAACAATCTTACATAGGGATCGTTAAAAAAATTGCAAGAAAACGTTTTATGGTTTTATTTTGTAGAGTTGGGTTTGCAGAATGACATACTAAAAGTTGCCAAAAATCGGTGCACGAGAAAACCACTAAAATCAGAATTTAAAATGGCGGCTATTTCCAACATTGCACAAATTAAAAAACATATTTCACATGCATTTGTTATGCACATTTTTCGAGATAATGACTTGGGACCACCGACTGTATTGGGTGGTTAGTATTTCATTTTGATAGGGAACATGTTTTTGGCCGCCATCTTGGATCCGCCATATTGGACATAGATAATTTTTTTTCAAAGTAATGATAGTGTTGTGACACATCATTACCAACTACATTTTTACACTGATTTCAATGCCGAAATCCGTTTTTAAATATATTTATTCATTTAGAAGATATATTCAAACGAAAACTCTCCACCATACATTTCTTATGGACGTTTCGTTGTTTCGTAGTTTGATAATTGTTTTAAAATTATTTTTCTTATATCTCCAGTTCTTATTGACACTTGTAGTTCGTTCTAGGCTTGAAATATTCAGTAATGTAAGGGCTTTCATTTGAGCTCTTGATCATTAAAATCAGACGAGTTAAAGACAAGCTACAAACCTCAGAACAATATTAAATTTAACTTTTTAGAAATATATTTTATTAAAAGATTTATAACTCGGGTTGTTAATACGTCACCAAGTTCTTTCTGGTCTCAAATTACTCAGTGAATGTTTAGCTTTGATTTTATTAATCACTAAACAAAATCTGACAATTTTAAAATGAGTCATGGTTCTTAATTTAACATTAAAATGTATTTGTTTTGAAATTTGTCTTTAGTTAAGGACATATATCCCAAACCCTAATAACTCTCGGAAAGTAATGCATAGCTAAAATAAAAGTCAATATTTTGGCGAATTATTTAAGACTATAAAGAGTTTTGGGAGTTATTTAGAATTGGGGATATACGTCTTGATTGATTGATTGATTGATTCTGTAGGGGCGGACCTTGTCCTATTGCACGTCAGCCACTGATGGGCTTTTTGCGCTCCCCACATGGTACTTCAGAGTCCGTCAAACCTGAGTTGCTTAATGAACTCAAGCATCCTGTCAATGAGCTCCTCCTGAGGAAGGTGTCTGCCCCTTGTCATTACACCAAGAGTACTGTCCCTTACCTCATTCAGAGCTGTGCAGTCGTAGAGAAGGTGATCAGCAGTCTCCTCTGATTGCCCACATTTCCTACACGCAGTGTCACCATTGTGGATCCTCAAGCGATGCAGGTGTAATTTCAGAAAGCCATGTCCAGTGACCATTCCTGTGATCTGTCTGAGTCGCCTCCTGTCCAAGCGTAGGGCATTGGAGGCGACCGTCTGGGAAGGAGAGAAGAGGGTGAGCTTACTTACCCTATGGTGCTGAAGCCTAACCCATCTTTTCCTGTGTTCCTCCTGAGCCCATGCCATGACTGAGTGACATGCATGCCCACGAGAGATTCCACAGAAAGGCTGTGGTCCCACGAAGTCTGAGGCTGACGCGGCATTTGCTAGCCTGTCAGCCACCTCATTCCCTTCTATCCCTGAGTGCCCAGGAACCCAACAGAGCGTTACCTTGTTGCGCCTGCCCAGGTCACATACCGCAGAAAGGCAGTCCCAGACCACCTTAGAATTAAATTCATAGGAATCAAGCGCTTTGAGCGCAGCCTGGCTGTCTGTGAAAATGGAAATGTTGATGTCCCTGAAGCCTAGCCTCAGGTTTTCCCTAGCACATACCATAATCGCAGTCATTTCGGCCTGGAACACAGTTGGGTGAGTGCCCATAGGAAGACAAATGTCCACCCCGTTCTGCACTCCATGAATTCCAGCCCCAGTCCCACTTCTTACCTTAGAACCATCAGTATACCATTCAAGGTCGCCTTGTGGAAGAGGATTCCCACCGGACATCCACTCATCCCTGGACGGAAGGAGGACAGTGAATGGTCTGGCGAAGAAGAATCGAGTCGGCATGTGATCCGAGGGCATGTCCATTACCTCCCCTCTTACCTGCTGAGTGATCCGAGAGTGACCTCGGGATCCTCCAACATCCAACCAAAGGTTATCACACTGGAGTCTGTAGGCAGTCCTCCTCGCAGTGACCTTGACATGCAGGTCAATCGGAGTGAGGTTGAGAAGGCAGTCCAGTGAGGCTCCCGGACAGCTGCTCATTGCGCCCGTGATGATGAGACAGGCGAGTCTTTGGACGGCAGCCAGATCTCTCACCGCCGACACTGAGTCCATCTTGGGCCACCACACGAGTGAGCCGTATGTCATGGCGGGCCTTACCACGGAGACAAATAGCCAGTGCATGAGCGCCGGCTTGAGCCCCCAGGTTCCCCCCACCATGCGTCTGCAGGCCATGAGTGACCACTTACCTCGATCAATGACCTTTTGGAGTTGTGGCCCCCATTGCAGCTTTCGGTCCAATACCACCCCCAGGTACTTTACCTGATTCTGCATTTCAAGCACTGTGTCTTGTAGTCTCAGAGGTCCAATGCCATTTAGATCGCGCCTCCTCGTGAAGGGGATAACCGCCACTTTGGAGGGGTTGATAGAAAGGCCTACCTCAGTGCACCATTGTCCAACTGACCTCAAGGCTGTGTTCATGAGGTCGGAGACCGTGTTGTTGAATTTACCCATAACTAGTATCACAATGTCGTCCGCGTATCCTTGAACGAATACACCACTATCACTGAGAGATCTAATTAAGTCGTCCACAACAAGGTTCCAGAGAAGAGGAGAGAGTACACCCCCCTGTGGACACCCTCGTGTGGTCCTGGCCTCCAGAACCTCATTGTGAAGAGAGAGTCTTACCTTTAAGTCTCCACCATACATTTCTTATGGACGTTTCGTTGTTTCGTAGTTTGATAATTGTTTTAAAATTATTTTTCTTATATCTCCAGTTCTTATTGACACTTGTAGTTCGTTCTAGGCTTGAAATATTCAGTAATGTAAGGGCTTTCATTTGAGCTCTTGATCATTAAAATCAGACGAGTTAAAGACAAGCTACAAACCTCAGAACAATATTAAATTTAACTTTTTAGAAATATATTTTATTAAAAGATTTATAACTCGGGTTGTTAATACGTCACCAAGTTCTTTCTGGTCTCAAATTACTCAGTGAATGTTTAGCTTTGATTTTATTAATCACTAAACAAAATCTGACAATTTTAAAATGAGTCATGGTTCTTAATTTAACATTAAAATGTATTTGTTTTGAAATTTGTCTTTAGTTAAGGACATATATCCCAAACCCTAATAACTCTCGGAAAGTAATGCATAGCTAAAATAAAAGTCAATATTTTGGCGAATTATTTAAGACTATAAAGAGTTTTGGGAGTTATTTAGAATTGGGGATATACGTCTTTAACTAAAGACAAATTTAAATATAAATACATTTTAATGTTAAATTATGGTCCATGACTCATTTTAAAATTGTCAGATTTTGTTTAATGATCGATAAAATTAAAGCCAAACATTTACTGAGTAATTTGAGACCAGAAATAACTTTGTGTCGTATTAACAACCCGAGTTATAAATCTTTTAATAAAAATATATTTCTAAAAAGTTAAATTTAATATTGTTCTGAAGTTCGTAGCTGGTCTTTAACTCGACTGATTTTAATGATAAAGGGTTCAAACGAAAGCCCTTACATTACTGAATATTTTAAGCCTAGAACGAACTACAACCGTCAATAAGAACTGGAGATATAAGAAAAATAGTATTAAAAAAATTATCCAACTACGAAACGTCCATAAGAAACGTATGGTGGAGAGTTATCGTTTGAATATATCTTCTAAATGAATAAAGATATTTAAAAACGGATTTCGCCATTGAAATCAGCGTAAAAATGTAGTTGGTAATGATGTGTCACAACACTATCATTACTTTGAAAAAAAATTATCTATGTCCAATATGGCGGATCCAAGATGGCGGCCAAAAACATGTTCCCTATCAAAATGAAGTACTAACCACCCAATAAATACAGGCGGTGGTCCCAAGTCAATATCTCGAAAAATGTGCATAACAAATGCATGTGAAATATGTTTTTTTAGTTTGTCCAATGTTGGAAAAAGCCGCCATTTTAAATTATGATTTTAATGGTTTTCTAGTGCACAGATTTTTGGCAACTTTTAGTATGTCATTCTGCAAACCCAACTCTACAAAATAAAACCATAAAACGTTTTCTTGCAATTTTTTTAAGGTCATATCCTATATTTCTCCGACTACAAGCTCTAATCTAATGTAAGCTCTCATTAGTCAAGTGATCTTGGAATGTTTCAGAGTTGCGACAAAGATGAACCTGTGGTGGAGACTGTTTGGACCGCGACACCCCGAGGCGAGACAAGATGACATTGTGTCTACGCAGCACGTGTGTGTGTTCAAACAGAAGTCCGCCCTACAGCTCGTCAGAGAGCTGATGGACAACAGAGGGTCGACTGACAAGTACACACTGGTCGACCCACGAGAGTATCGGCTCACTCGCCCCAGAAAGTATGATCGCGACCTGCGGTGAATTATGTCCAAATATGTGAATTACATTAATGTTGTCATTTTATGAGTGTACATAATAAAATAAACAAATAGATTTTGAATTTCTATTTTCCCAGTTTTTGAGTGTTTTAGAATAATGTAGGCCTATATTGTATAAATCTATCTAATTATAATACATATTATGAGAAATTGCAGTGTAGTCAAGCAGTTACCGTACAGCCAAAATATAAAGGCTGCTCATTCGATCCTGAGCGGTATTGATTGATCCAGATGAGATGCCATTTGTTGGGCTTGTAAATACAATTTTGGATTGATGATGCTTTCTAACAAAATGTTATAATATGCTAATAGCGCAGAGGTTTTTGACTTTTTTTTATCTTGTTATTTTAACTATTTGCAATAACAAAATTTACTATTTTATTTTTACATGTTGTTACACTCACAATAACTTAAGTCAAAAGAGAGTTTAGAAGAGAAGGCAGAAATGAATTCATACATCATGTTATAAATATAAATTTAATTAGAAAAACGTTGAATAAAATTAAGTATATATATATAATTAACAAGTATTTAAATACAATCACACCAAATTGAATATGGTACAATACTTGAGGAAAATTATTTCACTGGTTTCAAAAATTTCAAACTCTCTCGTATTGGAACTGCTTACAAATAACATGAAAGTCTTTGTAAACTAAACATAATAACAAATCAATTTTCCTTTTCTTAACCAAAAGTAAAACACTTCTTAATGCATCAAAATATAAGTAATAACTTTTGTTAGTCCTGGACTCTCTAATATTCCAGGGATTACAATACCAGTCTTGTTTACATTCTTACCTATAGATCTTACAGTAACCGCTATCACTAACTCATCACTTAAAAATGAAAATAATAACTTGGAGACAAAAATGGCTTTAGTAGTAATTGTTGTTTTTGGTTTTACGGTCTGTGTCTCAAAACAAAAATGACACCAAATTATCTAATTACTATCCAAGAATCTTAACCACAAAAACCAAGCATATAAACCGTCCGATACTATTTCTCAATTGAACTTGACATAATAGAAACAAATGCACATGCTAAAATTAGCACCAACAATCGACTGGAGATAGTCTCTACCTAAAAAGTAAGTTTTATATAAAATGTAATTCATTATAAAAATGGGATGAACAAATCCTCCTAAGTTTCAATATCAGTCTCAGATTGCATATGACTCTGCATCGAGAAACTGAAAACTCGACGGAGAGAAGACCACTGATTGTGTCGAACCGTTGACCAGATCATTTTGAATCAGTGCGTTTTTTATTCTAAAACAAACACATGGTCAAATTACTATTGAGGAATACACTCTAAAATCTTGGATTAACATGTTCGCTACCACAATTATATGGAATTTACGTTTGCATAGACCAGCGACGCAATTGTGCGTCAACTCGTTTCTCACAATAGACCACCGACGCATATTTGCGTCAGCTGGTCACATTGAAATAGACTAACGACGCACAGTTGCGTCGGTGTTCAATTTTATTAATCAGCGTATTTCTTAGCAACGGTCTATTTTAAAGCCCTGATTTTATCGTATCGGTCTAGAGGGATATCTGCCGCAAATGTGCGTCGCTTGGTCTGTGTATATGACGATTGGTTACGTCACACAACAGTTGGCAACATTGTTGTTTACATTGTGTATTCCGCGACATCACAGAACAGATGTAAACGTTATAACCTTTGTAGTTTTGGCTAGTGTTAAGTGGAGTTTCTATTTGTTTGTGTAAAAGCTTGAAACAACCAAATTTACAACGACGCGTAAGAGAAGAAGTAAAATTGCAATGATTCGAACTTCAACTAATCAGCTGTTCTGTGGTGGATCCAAAATTTTCGGGGCTCTGGGACTTTGGTGGGGCCCTACTAACCGGGGGTCTGAGGGTCCACATTACACAGTTTCTGATGGGCTGTAAACTAATGCTGTCACATCAGCCCAAACCCAAACAATCCAGACATTTAACACCCTGGTACTTGTTACACTCCGCCTTGTATTAACACAGTAGCCTCTGTGAACCACAGGTTGGGAGGCACTACAATGGATAACTTGCCCACCACAAAGTAATATAATGTGATAGGCTTACTATGTATAGTGAATTAGTGATACACACCAACATTACTGGAACTCAGCTGACACAACATCTACACTTTTAGGTTAGGTGCAATTAGTTTGTGGTTTAGTTAATTTGCAATTAGATTTCATGCAAAATCCTTCAACATTCTACCAACAGGAGTTGTAGTTAATTTGTGATTAGATTTCATGCAACATCCATCAATATTCTATAACATTTCATGAGTTTGTCTATTGTTAACAGATATAGTTATAAGATTTAGTGATTACTAAGTGGACTTATTCCTCATCGAAGACATCCTACTATTGCCAGATAAAAAATTCCACCTCCACCAAATTATTAGAAAGAATAATTACCTAAAATTTTTAATCATTTGCTTCTTGTAGTTTCAGAAGCGGCATTGAAACGTACGTTCTTCTTGTTCACCGGCTAGGAATTGAAATGTGTTTTATTTATTACATAAGTAATATACCTATTTATTTATACGATTAATCGCCTAAAAGATTTCAAATCAATTGAATTCCATTTTCAAAAAGAAATATTACTTTTAGACGATTTCAAACACACAGCCATGATTCGAGTTGTTAACAAAGAGTTTGGAAAATGAATCATACCAACGAATATGTGATGGGTTTAAATGATTACTGAAGATAAAACAGGATTTTATAGTTATTGGATTAACAAGAGTTTAGTTTATAGCAGATCTGTCGTTCTACTGCATGAAATTAAACCCGCTTTAGTCTATGGATATATACGACAGGGAGGGTGATTGGAGACTTACTATGGTAATTGTTGAAAATTTAGGAAACGGGGAAACTTTTGCTGCTTGCATTCATTCATCTAATACAATCAACTACAAAAAACCTCTTTCCAAATATTTGTTTTTTTTATGCCACATGAAAATGGGAAAATGTTATTAGGTAGCCTACAAATGTTGAAATCCTGGACAAAATCTGCAACACTTAGAAAGATTTTCAAAATTTATGTTTTGTTTGAAACTTTATGTTACTTTTATTTTTGCCATTTCCCCGTGTATTTTGTGCTTGGACTTTTAACAATTTTTTAAGGAAGTCTATTTGATACAAAAATGAATGTGTCTACCATATACACAACCCACAGCTTGGCTCTAGTCTGGAAAACATTTTAGCCAATTCTGTGCAAACACCATGTACTGTACACACACACACTAGTAGTGATAGGATCTCTTACCTTGGTCTTGGATTCCATCAACTCTCTGACTTTGCTCTTCTCCTGCTCCAGCAGAGCTACCAGTCTTGATACTTCATTGGACAGCTCATTCTTCACCCTCTCTAGATCATGCACTTCTACCAATACTTCTGCCTTGTCCTTCACTGTAACCATATGATTTAAAATGTGTTACTCACGAAGTGTGCTATTGTCAAAGCTGGATTTTCTCTCCTACTTTCCAGCTATTTAGCAATTGCCAGTGGCATGTTTGAAAGGTTTAATAACACAAATGTTTTATTTGTATGACATGAAAGGTGTTACAGTTTAGCTTGGTAAAAACGTCCGTAGGATTATACAGAGTGAATCAGACCACCCGTGCACATACTTTAACGGGACATACAGCCGCTTGTGTAACTCACTGGGACTTATTGATCAGGTATACAAATGTTTACCCACGTCTAGAATAGCTAGGGATCTGAATTTTGTGGAGGTCTGTCTTGGTCCGAAACTACCCAGAAAATCCTAAAAAGTTACATTTTCAAATTACATGCCCCCCCCCCCAAAATTCCCTTAAATCCCACTTTTTTTAGAAAAACATGTTTTTTTTAAACGGCTATAGCTCAAAAACGGCCAGAGCTATTAAACATTTGAAAGAATTTTCATGGTCAGGAATTGAACTTTCTACAAGACACTCTTAGGCGTTTTTGAAAATCACACTCCTTCACCTTAAAAAAAAAAAACGCCCTACTTTTTTTAGATCAACACTCCCTGATGGTGGTTTGATTCGACTACTCCCCTTTGCAAAACTAAAACTGGGTCTATAAGGTTGAAATGGGAATAATGGTGTTTGTAGTACTTTCTATCATAGTCAGGCCCGGTTTCCCCAACTCATTTAAACTTGGTTTTAAGTTAAACGGCGATTTAAACTTAGTTTAACTTTGATTTGTGTTTCCCCAAATTTAAACTAGGTATTAATTTAAGTTCAAACTAAACCACCTCTCGACTTGGTTTAACTACTGGGGATAAAATAAACTGAGTTCAAATGAGTAAATTACAACAGTAACATAACCTCAAATCAAAACAAAAAGTAGGTGTTAAAACAATAATAATTGAAGCAACTACAAATTCATTTGGACGAAAATAGGCTTGGTTTAGGGATAGCTTTATGTTAAGTTTTATTTATATTTTAATTTATTGTTTTATATTAAGTTCTTTTTTAGTACATTTGATTTTATTTCAAGTTAGGCTACTATTAATTAATTGCAGTAACTTATTTACCCTCTCAAACGGAAGAGAGACATTTCCGAAGAAGTAGAAGATGAAGATTATGACACTTTAGTACCTAGAACAAGAGGGCCTACTAAAATAAGGGACAGAATTGACCATTTCAATAAATGGAATGAATCTGAATTTGACAACAACTTATAAAAACTTGATAACATAACCTTAAACAGTGATGTTATTCTACCGGCATTCGCACTTTGCTGACTGCTCTACTGAGTTGTAGCGTAGCGTTGTGGTGGTTGTAGGAAACACTAGCCCAAAGCCCACCGAAGATTCCTTACAAATACACATTCAGGATTGCCAACCGCTCGAATTGCCGTTTATCTTAAACGAAGCCAGTAATATGTTGGAGAAACCGAACACACATTTTAAACGGAGTTTAAAAATAAACTAGTTTATTATAAACGTAGTTTACACCATTTTGGGGAAACCGGGCCTCAAAGTGATGTGCTAAAATCAATATATTAAAATCTCACAATCTAGAAAACAAAAAATATTGTTCCCTATAATACAAA